TTTATTAGACCAATGTGAATCATTAGCATATGATTCAGCTTGTCAATTTAAATTAATGTCCAGCAAAGATTCGACCACCACCAACAATGACAGAGCTGGGAGAAATTCGACACGACCTAGGTAGCTGTCTCATTTTTGGCCTTTGATCTAGAATGAATTAATAATTTATCTGCAAATCAATTTCAGGCTCTGGGAAATAAAATTCAAGATTTAAACAATTCAATTCAATACAATCCAATTATAAACCCCAAATGCAAATGCAAATGCTCAAATTATAATAACCGTTTGGCACAATATAACTTTCTAATTATTATAAATATTTAAAATATTTTAGGGTCGAGTAAGCAATATATATTTAGAAATATTAAAAACATTATACTATATTGTACTACCACAGTGGCTATATGGCACAGTATGGAGATTATACAGGCTTTGTGACAATTGCAATTAGAATATTACTACCAAGTGGAATATTGCTCGGCATTAGTTCTTTCAGTGACCAATCGTCTTTGTTCGAATACTTAGCCAGGTTGTACTCTTCTGTCCCAATAGAAAAGTAATAGCTCGAGAAATCTATTTTAGGATACTTTTGTGTCAATTTGATTTTAAGATTCTTTAGAAGTGTGGCGGCTTTCAATTCATATTTCAGGGTGATTCCTGTGACATCAATTATTGCGATGTCACGTGACAATTGCAATTGGGAATTTGCGATTGTTTGAAATTGTGATTGTTTACGATCGCGATTTCTATTTTCACGGGCGATAGTTTCGAATAGATAAGCGGAGCTCTTTAAGCTCCCTTATAGTGGATTTTTAATAAAAATTAGTTAGTACGAATAAGTTTTATTACAATTCCTGACGGAAACATAAATTCTACGTTGTAAGACATGGGTTTTAACAAGTATTATATTATAAGTATAATTAAAAGTGCAAAAAGTATATGAAAAATAAAATAAAAAAATACGTTGTTTACCTATGCTTATATATTGTTTTTGGAGTTGGGTGCAAGAAAACATGAAGGATAAATCGACCTTTGTATATTACCTATTAATAGCATATAGCTCCTACACAAAAAAGTAAAAGTAAAAATAAAAATATTTCAAGCTTGTCTATTATCTAAAATTTTCTTTTCTATAAAAGCAATGACTTGGTGCGGACATTTGCATTGATGGTTAAAACAAAAGTTATTAATTAAAAATTGATACGGTGTATTTCAATTGCTTGTGGTAGCCTCTTTTTACAATAGCATACATTAAAAGCAAGCTGTCCAGCGTCAAAGGAAAACAAAAACAAAAATGGAATATCAGTGTTTCCCAACTATCACTAATGAGTGTCGCCTAAACCCGCGCTACAGCCGAGAAAGCGAGCAAAGAGGGGGACCAACTCCCTGGCATTGTCAACCTCAATTTCCCGCTCCAACAGCCGCCGCCATCACGACTACCAGCATTCCCCGAAGACACCACACCCAGCGCGCCCCCAGCACAAGCTGACAATGCCCTGCCCCAATTGCCTGGCACACTCACTCCTCTCCCGCAAACAGTGCCTGCACTCACCAATTGGCTCGCATTGTCACTCTCGATGTGGAAAGCATTCGAGGTCAAAAACTCACCAATGGTGACGGCCTTCTACAAGCTCTACCAGCTCGCTGCTGCGCTACTCATTTATTTACAGTGGGTGGCCTACAGCGACTTGGCATACAGCAACAGCCGATGGACTCACGGATGATTTAGTACTCCTTTCAACCACAATTTTGGATTGTTACGCGGCCGTGAAGATTTCCTTCAGATTACCAGACCCCCACCAATCTGGAAGGTGCAGTGGGCCTCCAGCAGAGCGTCACAAGCCTACAGCCTCATCAGCCATTGTAGGATTCCCCTACATGATGGCCCCTGCATTTGCGCTGATGGTTTCTACCACCCCCTGTCTACTTATAATTTTTATAGGTTTACACAGTCAGCGAGTTATTATTCAAGAATAAAACACCACCATTGACAGAACGACCGTATTGAAAATCAGCCAAGTAAACACCAAAAGTTTAATTTTTTAAAATAGAGGTGAAATAAGCACCATCACTCGCCAACAATTTATTGCAAAAAAATATTAAAGGACTCAGAGTGCACATTTAATCCCATGGGTGGGTACGTCTCACTGACTTTGCGCAGCAATTGAAACTTGTGTCACTGTTGTTCCTCACGGTCCACTAATATTTAAGTTAAACAAGAAGCTTAACATATTTTATTTATGTCGCAATCCGGGTATCGAACCCGTGACAGGGTAATAGTAACCTGTGCAAGCAAGCAACCAGTCTGAATCAGCCACGAATAACTGGACTTGTTGCTCTGTTCTGAAATGGTTACAAAAAATGTATTTATGAAGGTATTATAATTGGGCGTGCGTACATAGTAAATAAAAAATGGTTTTGCTTTTGGCCAGGCGTTTTTGCTGTTTATTCGTTTTCAAATTTTTTTGTGAAAAATGTTAATGTTCATTTGCAAGCATCACATTTGTAAACCAATTCATTGCTTGTCATATTATACTCCAGATTTATCAAGAATTTATGATATTTAAAATATTTGACTCGGTTGCTCGCTTTTTAAATTAAAACTTGATTATGTTATGACAATAGTGATCATTTGAATAAAATAAAACTAATTGTTAATAGAAAATCTTTATCTAGTAGCTCTGGTTGGGCTTTATGCTCTTGACCAACTGCGAGAAATGACTGTTCTTGTCGGCGAGCAGGTCATCAGGCGTGTAATGAGAATTGGACTAGCTATAATATATATTAATAGAGATGAGACTACGGAAAGAGCTGAAGAGCTCCCTATTCAGAATTCGCCGTACGCGTAAAATATCATAAACATATTTTACGCGTCTGCGCTGTCACGTGACTCGGCCCCCATTTCTGATGTCACAAGGCGTGTCAAACTCTGCCATCTGGCCGTGGTCCATCACCAGGATGCGGCCGCTGTCCATGACAGTGCCCAATGGTCAACATGGTGCAGTCCTTGAAATCACGGGGGAGCACTTTTTGCATGATCTGGTCGGACTTTGTATCCACATTGACTTTCGCTTCGTCCATAATGACAAACTTGCTTTTATGTTAAAAATAAATATATTGAACAAATTAACTAAAAGAAAGCTAAGGGATAAACAGCCTCCACTGTTCATATTCATTAGTATTTAATGTGTGTGTATGAATTCCCGCATATCCAAGTAGGGAATTAACTAGAGATTGATTAATGAATCAATCGCCGGAGACAAGCCGCAATTCCTTGTATCACACTTGCACTGCCAAAACAGAGCTCTGGAAAGACCAATAACCTGTCTCTAGTCGACACTAAACTTTTTGCCATTATGCTCTACCCATTTATTCAACCCAACACCCTCGATCCACGGCCCCTTGTTAAAATGTTTATTATTTTTATATTTAACGTACTTCTCTATTGGAGTATTGAGAGGGTCGCAGATTTGGCCCGCGCTAATAGCCGCCTAGACTTCGTTGTAGATGTACTCGTTGATTGGATTAAAGTTGTCGCGAATGGTTCCTTCAAGTAGTGCCGGGTCCTGCAGAATAATGGCAATGCACAACCGGGGGTCTTGTAGTCCCATTTTTCAATGTCAACGCAATCTGTGATCTGGCCGTTCGACTTTTATATACTCAAAATCTTTTATTTTATGCGAAAAAAGCGGTGTAAAATAGGGAGGAAAAACAATATTTATTCTAGCCAAAGCACCAATGTCTTTGTTAGTTTACCGACATCAATAAGAGCCGATGTCAAGCGCTGTTTGAATGCCATCTCGTTCAGCAACTCCCTCACAATCTCATTATCCATATCAGACCCACCAGCAGCATCATGAGCCTCATTAATATCGTTCAACTGATCAGTCAATTGCAAATGCCCCTTCTCCAACCCGTCCAAAACACCCTTTGCCACCGCCCGATCATACAGATCCACATTCAGCTGCTCACTGGCACCGGACCCGGTCTCAATATTATCAAACTCGGCGCGACTAATATTGATAGTCTCCCGGATAGACACAATGACCCGCTGTAATGTGGAAAACAGGGCGTTGGGAGCCGGACTAGGCGCGCGCACCAATTGTAGCATGCTTTGGATTCCAGCAATAATGTTATCGGTGCTCGATTCCAGGCCATATTGATCGGATCTATTGGCAGAAGTGGTGGTGGCGTTCGCAGAAGTGGATGTTGGTGCCTGTTTTGCTTCTACAGCTGCTGCGGCGGTGGCGGCGGCGGCGGCCATTGCCACCGCAGGCACCACCATAGCCTGTGTGGCGCGCGGTGCAGCCTTGCTCTCGTCGAAACACACTTTAAGAAGCTTCACAAGGTCCACAACAGCAGTCGCAAGGTGGCTGGCGGCGGCCTCCAAAAGCGAAATAGGTAGCACACCCATGCTGTTCAGGTGCTTGTCAACAGCATGAGCGAGGCCATCCAGATGAGTCTCAAGCTTGAGAACAACCTCAGGCGTGTTCTCCAGGGTGTCTCTGGGCAACGGCCATGTGCTGGGATCTCCGGAATTGGCGGCCTGGTAGGCGGTCACATCCGCGTTGAGTTCACCACAGGCAGCCACCACAAACGACTGGGCATTCGGCAAGTCAACATCCATGTTCTCCGACCTGACGGCTGAAAGCAGCGCCTCAACAGCCTCCTGGAATGCCCTGACGGATGACGGACGAATGACACCACCAGAGTTAACAAACACAGGTGGCGGAACCAGCTCCGTGTCTCCATGATCCATGGCAAATACTGAGGTGGCCTTGAGCCGTCGCACCTTGGCCCTAGCCTCATCAAGCTTAACCTTGAGCTCGCGCTCGCGCTCAATAAACCTTGTGCGTTCAATCCTCAGCTTGTCATTTTCCTGCCTCAGCGCTGGCACATCCGACCTCGCGGTAACCAGCTGGTCGCGCAACAACTTAAGTTCGTTCTCCAGCCTCTCGTTCTTCTGCGCTAACGCCGCGTTCATGCGCTCAATATTACTGATTTGCTCGGCATCTATGGGGGATTGGGAGCTGTCGCCGCGCCGGTCCAGCATTTGGCTCTCCAGCTGACCCACTCGCTTGCGCATGGCAGAGAGTCGCATTTCGTATTCGTTCTTGAGCTTTTCAAGGTCGCTCGTGCTCATGCGCGCGCTACGGTCAGGTGTGGGCACACGGGCGGTTTGGCCTAGTTGACTGTTGCGCAGACCACAGTTGGCGTCGTTGTCTGCGTCGTCGTGGGAAAAGCTGCTGCCGCGCCCCGCTGCTGATGCCATGGCAGATACCGGTGGATTAATGGTATGGGTGTAGCCCTGGATGCTGCCTGAGCTTGTCGGCGGCGACCTCGACATCTGGTACTGACCGAACCCCGACTGCTGTCCGAACTGCGAGCTCTGGAACTGCTGTGCAATTGGCAACGCACTCTGCATATTGCCCATGTTCATCGAGTCATACCTGGAAGATGCAGTGGCGAACTCGGTAGTGTCAATTTTGTGCGGGAAGCGTCTTTTCAGCTCCTCATTGACGTCATGCACGAGGTCGACAAACTTTGGGCGCGACAAGGTGGCTAGCTTTTGGCGTGCCTGGTTGCGCTTCGGATGGTAATGGTCGCGGACGGGTAGAAAGGGGAAGTCTTGGTTTTCGCTGCGGCGTCGCTTAAGCTCGTCGTATACGTCTGTTGCTAGCTCTTGGAATTGCATTGGCGTGAGCCGGGAGAGCTTGCCGAGCTCGGACTTTGTTGGTGCAGACACTCCTTGGTCAATCTCGTCGAGAATGAATTTACTCATCTCGCGATGGTACTGCCCTGCAGTGACCTCCATGTTTTTTTAGTTTATGTGAATAATTAAATGCCTAGGAAATAAGGATTGGAAAATATTGTATCTTCGCTTGTGAAAAATGGCAAAGTGTAGAAAAAATGTGCGCAATAGAAAAAACAATGCAAAGGTGAAAAGGGTAACAACGGAGCAGCACACAATAAACTAGGCACCAAAACCTTTTTGGAGTATTCGGATGTTCGTCGAGAATGTTCCTTTCGCTGTAGAAAATAATGAGACTACGAATATCTGAAAAATTCGAATATCCTGCAAATCAACATCTTTCCTATCCAGATTGCATAACAACCCAGAACGCGCCTAGAAACTAGAGGCAATGAATAGCCCCCCACTATGGTTGAAGATATTAATCATTGCGCTGCTTCTTACAAAAAGAAGCTTGGGGTTGGACATTGGCTTGGCCAAAGTCTCGGCGTCGCTGTAGACTCGGGTTCAGCCGACTCTGACGATGCCTTTTTGCGCAATAAACAGGGAGGATGCTCGCTTATAAGAAGGGCATTGAGGATGATGCGAAAGTTCATCACTGCAGCCATGCTACGATTCCACTTCCGTATGCCTAATGTCACTTTTTTTTGCCATCCTTAACCAACCTGCGATGACAAAAATACTAGAAAACAGCAGCAGCGCAGATAGGAATATTTGTTTGGTTAAAGAGTAATCTGCCGCTAAGAATACTTACGAATATCTCACATATGTGCTATCTTATTTCTACCTTTGGCGAAAGGTGTTAACTCACTGTTAACTTACCTTTTAATGAAACGTAAAGGTAAGTGTGTAAACAATCTCAAAGGTTACTCTGTCGATTGGATATTTGTTATAGTTTAATTCTGGTCGCTGCAGGTCAATTGATTTTCAAAAAAAAAACGCAAATTTCATTGGCATTTTTGGCTCTGATTTTTTATTTTGGTTTGCATAGCAAAAAATGGTGCATTTTCAGTTGTAAAGCTTAAAATAAGGTAAACAAAAATTTCAATTTGAATAGTAGTGCCAAAATTTTATTACTAACATTTTTTGAAAAAGTTTAATTGACTCCCTTGATGGCCACACAATAGAATATCGCAACTTTTCTATCCTCATTGTTTATTTATTCTTACACATTATAACTATCAAATATTCCATACAATCGAACCAAGGTGTTTTTAGGGAGGGAGGAAAAACAGAGATAATGTCCTTGGTAAAAAAAAGAAACAAGGAAGAGAGAGAAAGAGAGAGAGGAAATGGAATGTGGTTGTTCGATTCAGCGCTTATCCGAATCCATTCTTGTCGACTCCTCGACGACCCTGGAAAAGGCGGCTAGCACGGTGGCAACCGAACAAGCAACTCTCTGCCAAAACCCAGTTGCGCCATCTACAGAAGCCATCCAAACCCAAACCATTCCACATAGCCTCAAAACTCGCTCTTGCAAATTCCAATACCGAATGCATGCGGTCAACCAGGAAAACAGCTGCATAAGGTACTTTGCCAGGATCTCCGGCATCTCCGAGTTCTTGAACCGCACGGACGCCCACACCAAGGTATTTCCGAGCAGCACCAGCCACATGATGATAATCCGGTTCACAAGATCCAAAACAAAACTCATTACTGCCAGTATTGTAACTCCGTGTGTATCCAAATCCCGCACATTGTCTGCCGGAAGCTGCAGGTGAGAACTGTGCGTCGGCTTTGTTTTAACAGCAGTTGAATTAGTGGAGAAAGCAATAGCATCTGTGTGTATTTCAGTAGATTCTGAGAGCAGCATTTTGAGAGTAGCCAGTCGCTCGCGCACATACACATCGCGTATTTGGCGAGTATCTCGGAGGGCCAATGCCATGTGCTCAAGGCCAAAAGAAAAAAGCTGAGCGGCACCCTCCTTGTTGCCCTCCCTGTCCAATTGCCTGGCCCTTATTGCCGCGGCAATTGCCAGGTCTATGCGGTTGGAGTTCAAGATATAATCTGCTACTGGGTTGGTGTCGGTGTTGGTGTCAGTAGTATCCTTTTTTGGTTCGTCTTGTTTGGCCATTTTAGCCAGCCATGTTGTTGCACGAGATATGCGCGTGTCGTTGTTGGCTGCATTAGGTAATGATAAGACTGTGAAGAGCGATGTGAAGTCCATTGTGTTCAGACGATGAAAGGAGAGGGGAGAGGAGTGATTAGGAGAGAGTATTTCAGAGGCAGGATATAGTATGCGAATTAATAAAAAAGACAAGTGGAGAGTCGGAAGCAATTTTTTCTTTTTGCGTGCTTTCTAGCAAGGAAATAACATCCATGTTTCTTTAAATGCGCCGTCGTTTGCAT